GCTACCTTTGATTATGTTCAATTTTCAGTTTTCTCAAGTATTTGAGAACTAAATCCTTTAGAGACACAACTCCATCATATGTCACTTTGCCTCAAATCAAGTTCACAAGTTTTTGTTGTAGTTTTATTATTCCCTCAGTTTTATATTTAGTGTGTATTTATTAGTTTTCTAATTAACTTTAAAAAAATATTTTTAGTTGTAGTTAGACATAATACCTTTATTTAATTTACTGATTTTTATGTGATGCTGAGGATCAAACCCAGCTCCTTGCACATGCTAGGTGAGCGCTCTACTGCTGACCCACAACCCCAGCCCCTCTAATTAACTTTCATTTGGTAGTTTAGAATGGAAGTGCCAAATCCTACCAGGGTCCTGGCTCTGTTTGCATAGATAGCTCACTCATATAAAAATGGTTTTTACATCTTTAAATGATTGTAAAAGAAACAAAACCCTAAGAAGTGTATGTGACTGAGATCATACATGGTCATCAAAGAAAGTCTAGAATATTTACATCTAACCTATTATAGTGAAGATTGCCAAAGCCTGATTTACAGGGAGGGGATGGGGGATGGTAGGTTTAAAAGAAGTGGGTCCATTTGCTACAGTTGCCTTTGTAGTGTTTTTAAATCATTTAGTTTTCCTTTGAGAGTCCCAGATTATAGTCTCAGTACTGGAAGAAACCTTACAGATTGTCTTCTCCAAAGTCTTACACTAGTGAAGAAACCAACATTCAAAGACATTTCAGTATCATATTGCAAGTTAGCCAGGTTTAAAACCTTAGGTTTCTGAATGTGGTTTACTTTTCTTTCCATTCTCAGTAGCCTAAAATTTTTTTCTGCCACATCCTTCTCAATAAAAGTCATTCTTTCTCTGATTCTATCTCCTCTTTCGTGTGTGTGTGTGTGTGTGTGTGTGTGTGTTTGTGTGTGTCTGTGTGATAATGAGGATAACCCAGGGCCTCATGCATGCTAGGCAAGCACTCTACAACTACTCCCGGCCCTTTTCATTTTTTATTTTGAGACAAAGTTTTACTAAGTTGCTGAGGCTGGCCTTGAACTTGTGATCCTCCTGCCTCAAAGTCCTGAGTTACTGGATTGCAAGCATGTACCACTGCACCTGGCTGGCAAAAATCATTATTTTTTATTGTTGTTGTTTGCTTGTTTATTGGTACCAGGGATTGAACCCAGGAGCACTTAACCTGGGTTAAGTGCTGAGCCACATCCCCAGATCCCCAGGCCCTTTTATTTTTTACTGTGAGACAGGATCTCCCTAAATTGTTCACAGCCTTGCTAAGTTGCTGAGACTAGTATGAACTTGTGATCCTTCTGCCTCCGCCTCCCAAACAGCTAAGATTAGAGGTATGTGCCACTATGCCTTGTAGAAAGCATTCTTTTCTTTATTGGTTGTTCAAAACATTACAAAGCTCTTGACATATCATATTTCATACATTAGATTCAAGTGGGTTATGAACTCCCATTTTTATCCCAAATACAGATTGCAGAATCACATCG